CCCCGGGGGGGGGGAGGGGGGCACTGATTGGTGGGCCTGATGGATAGAGCTTCATCAGAGCTAAACAAAAAAAGAAATCTTTAGCTCCTACGTTAAACAGTTTCTTAGTTATAAGCATTTTTGCATGTCCAGACACCCCATCTTTGGATGGAGCTCCCCCCTCAAATATGGGGTCTATCGTAAAACTGTTAGCTGGCGCAGTGTAGGTTAGAGTCATCTACAGTCCTGCCAAATTTCATGTTGATCGGTGCAGTCGTTTTTGTGCTACGTTTGACCAAAAATCACTGGGAAAAAAAAGGACTAAAACAAWATGACCCCGCTTACGCTTCACACGAAGTGTAGGCGGGAGTCATATTGCCTTATAAGCACTGCCTCCACCTGGACAAACAGGTTAGTCACATGTAAAAGAGGGCCATCGCCTTACTATAGGCTTGATTTGCGCTATTGTTCATGAACAATATGATGAACAATGAACAATAGAGCTAATCAAGCCTATAGTAAGGCAATGGCCCCCTTTTGCATGTGACTAACCTGTTTGTCCAGGTGGAGGCAGTGCTTATAAGGCTGAGTTCACCTGAAACTCATCAGACTGAAGGTCTCTTGGAGGAGAGACAAAACGTTTCACTAAAGAAGAACCCATCCAGAGGACCTACTTATATTTTATTTTTTCTACCTGGATTACTGAGATGCATCAGGACAACTACGTGATGTTCGCAATCAAAACAAAACGTTTTTCTTTGTTTCCTCTGGCTTTACTGCAGTCCAAATATACCAGCAGCTGGTCTGGTGGCCTCTAGCGCCCTGTGGCAGATAGCGGCTGTCACTTCCGGTGGCAGCCTCTGGCAGTTCCGGTGGCAGCTGCCACCACTGCCACAAATTGCGCTCGGCCCTGCTGGTCATGCCGTCTCTCACAGCAGAAAGCAGATTTGGATTAATCAGCTCTGCAGCTTATGGAAGACCAACTAAACACCCGAGTAAACTCAAATCAAGTCAGTCTGATACGGGTCGTTAACAGCTCAAACTGGACTCTAACCACTGTAACCTCTGTCCGCTTTATTAGATTAATAGCTCATAATGTATGACACCAAATACAGAAACGTTGCATCACGATGACAGAGCTATTTACTTAATGTTTGCTGACAGCGTTCCTCAAACGAATAAAAACGTAGACAATAAAAATTAAACACCGACCTTAAAAAAGCATCGTTGTCTTACCTTCAARGTAATGTTTTTCCCTGAAAACAGGAGAAATGTGGTGGATAAATACGGTGAAGCTAGCTGCTAAACCTAACATTAGCTCTGTTAAACGCGGTGTCTAACTACATGGTAAGTTCTACCATAAACCTTTAGTTTAAGTGTCTCTACGGGCTCATTGTTTCCTACAGTCCCAGATAAACTGTCCGATTCTCGTTCTGGTTCCCAAACCGGCATCCAAACCATTCTTATAAAATAATATGAAAACAATGTTCGGTCCTCAGCTAAAATGAAAGAACTTCCGGTTCACCAAGCACTTCACTTCCGGGTTGTGTCGCGCCTGGTGTCGTACGTCAACGGGGCCACCATTTTGGGAGAGTAAACGCCGGTCAGCTTTCAAGCGGACCTCGTTTTTCTAAATTAACATCGACATTCTCTTTGTTAATCCGTTTTTAGGAAGGAGTGTCCAATACGCTGAATTCTTTCTAAAACTATGACATTCATTTAACTCCTCGAGAAAGTACCTATTTTTTTGACGCTATTCATATTTCTCCATTGACACAAATCTGGTCAATTATGCGCATATTGGACGAAAAATGTAGCATCATTAATTTGGGGGATGTTAAAAAACAAGTATGGCATTGATTATTCCAAAGAAAAAATTAAAGAAGTAATAGAAAATATTCCCAGCATTTTTATTCAGTCTGTAATTTTTTTATTTTTTAATCTAACATCACACCAATATTACACACAGTTAAAACAGCTTACATGGACAAATGTAGCAATAAGTTTCTAATTCAATATTTAATAAACACTACCCGGGAAGAACCATAAACATCATCACCCTACAAACTTTGACAAACCTAGAATATCTAAAATTAGGTTAATTTTCTTAAAATCCCAATTCCTCTTAAATATAAATAATTACATTGTAAAACAATAAGAACATGTTTCCTTCAAACGAGTTAATGATAAAAAAGATTTTAATTAAATGTAGAGAACTGTGTGTTTTGTAAATCTAATTTGGAAACAACCAAATATTTGCTTTGAAGTTGGGTTTTTGAAATTCAAAATTAATGGAAGTTGTTGCAAAACTTCTTGTCTTCCAAATTCATAAATGTAGATTATTTCCCCCTCTTTTCACATTCTTCCGTTTGGTTTATTTCTTGATGAGAAAAATGAAGAATTAACATAGTTACTAAATATTATATGCACAAATGTTGATTTGTGTAAATGTTTCCCATATTCTGTGCTCTCATAAACAAACTCTCCGTTGGAAAGGTGAGCTTAACAAAAACCTGTAAAACTGTACAAGATAATGACAGAATTTCATTTATTAACCCCATAATTAGTCCTAATGTTTTCTGTTTGTTCTGGTAGAAGTCTTTTCTCTATATAATAACTAGATTTTGAAATGGAAAAGGTTGAAACTGGCCAAGCCCGGTGTTAGGGCCGCTTTGGCAGCCCACCAACAGCCCAAATATGTTAACATTGACAAGAAATTTGAAAGTATGACATAATGTAATATAATTATGTGTTATTGTAAATATTTGTTTTCAATAACTAAACACCAACTACAGCAGGGATCACCAACCCTGGCAGAGAGCTTGTATTAATAATAATCAATGTATATGTGTATTCACACTGTATATGTGCCTGAAGTAAATTTAAACGCTACAAATTCAAGTAATGTTTACTCATCATTATCTAGTAAAAGTTACTAAGAATATAGTTAAAGATTTGTGAATAAGTCAAGTAAATTTTACTTAGTTTGCTAATTTAAATCTTGTCACATATACTTGATCAAATTAGGTAAGATTTATGAAAAAAATGGGCATGAGAAATTATTAATTACACAAAGATATTAAGTTAATATTTTACCTTCTTATCACTAAAAATTACTTATTTATATTATTTATTAATTAATTTTTTTTAATTTAGTAAATCATACTCATTTTCTTTTGATAGTTTTTCAATTATGGCAAATGTACAAGATAAAGCACTTCACAAATTGTTTTCAAAAAACAAAAGGTTTATTTTTTCCCACTTAAATCAACAAACTTGCATATTAAATGAACATTATGCACATTCATGTACTGATAGGTATGAATATACCAAATGATACCGTAACTACACAATATTCTGAACACAAAAGAAACTAACGCAACAGTCCAGGGGTCTCATTTATAAAGGATTGCGTAGAAACCATACTAAAAGTGAACGTACGGCCAAAAGGCGGAAATGGCGTACGCCAAAAAAAATTCATATTTATAAAACCGTACYTACGCACGTTTCTGCGCATCTTTCATTTATAAATCAGAACCTTGGCGTAAAAAGTGGCGTATGCAAGTTTATGGGCTCAAATTGTGCGTATGCCAGTTTTATAAATCCTACCCCAGAGCAGTCTGAATAATATAAACTTAACAGTTTCCAGTGTACAAGATTCCTCTTAACAATTGTGGTGAAAAAACCACGTGTTCTGATTCTGCGGAACTGCTGCTGCTCAATGAAGAGAGAACACTGAAACAGGCTGGTTGAACAGCAAGAATCTTTATTTTGCAGTGCAGGGGTCTCATTTATAAAGGATTGCGTGGAAACCATACTAAAAGTGAACGTACGGCCAAAAGGCGGAAATGGCATATGCCAAAGAAATTCAGATTCATAAAACGGTGCGTACGCACGTTTCTGCGCATCTTTCCTTTATAAATCACAGCCGCACGTCAGAGTTTGCGCACGAGGTCCCTCCTCAGGTTCTACCCTCTACACGCCCACACTCAACCATGCGTGACTTTTGCTGTCCTGCTGTTCTTATCGGGGAGGGGTTCTTGGGTCAGGGAGGGGTCTGTGGGTCATGGAGGGGTCTGTGGGTCAGGGAGGGGTCTGTGGGTCAGGGTCGTCTGAGGAGGAAGCAGATGAAGGGAACTGCGCACGGGAACTTTTATTTAAGATTTTTTTTTTTTCAAAGGTCCTCATGGCTCAGCAGCAGCAGAAGCATAAATATTACTGTTAAGAAAGTTGATGACAAAGCTGACTAAAAATTTAAGTCTGATGAAGGTAAATTAAATCTCTGAC